CTCGACGGAGCGTTCAGACCAAGGCTGCTCAATATCGTACTCTCCCTGCGCGTGTGAGCGGTCCAAGTCATTTGACTAGAGTGACCGAAGATCTGAATTGTGAAAAGGCTAGAGTGCTTGCTAGTATACATTGACTTTCGCTCCGAAACGTGGAAATCCCACTGCGGTCAGCTTTTCTTCCCGCACAAGGATCTTGCCGGCGTGAACAGTTTGGGTGCGCAAACACTTGCTGCGAGGGTGCGCGAGCAGGGTAAGCTTTTCAAACAAGTCCCAACTCGCTCTCCAGATCTGCGACGTGTTTCTCGCGAAGAATGAGGATGTCGGCGTACCGAATGGCCGTCTTGAGTTCTTCGCACGCAAGCTAAGTTGCGGTGGAGAAGCAGGGTAAGCGCAATGCTCCGCCCAAGGTGTCTCTCTCTTCAAAGGACTCACGCTGATGAGCTTGTCGGCGTTGAAAAGCTTGGAGGTCATGCTGTGCATATGACTATAAATACCAGATGCAGACGTGGCGCTCAGTAGCTCCTTCTCGTTCAGAGCGAGAATGGCTATAGCGACGCGGAAGAGTACGACCATGCCCTCAACAAAGAGCACGTCCCACACGCGAAACAGTGTCTAGTCACGAATTTCCCGCACGACGCACAGAGACGAGCGGCGTCAGTTTCGGAGCGCTGTAGTACAATACGCTTCCCACTCACCTCGACAGGTAGACAATCAGTGTACAGCGATAGGAACCAGGCGAAAGTGACAGCGGGCAAATCGACGCCAAGCTCGTCCAGATGTGCGCGCAGGTCCGGAAGGAGCTCTCCAACCAGATCGAAGAGAACCCTTTGGTCCGCTTGGGAGACGAGCAGATGAGAAGTGTAGTACTCGCTCGGCAAGATGCGCTGCGGTAGCGAAACGCAAGATCAGCGACCATTGCTATGGCTCCCCGCCGAAGTGCAGCATCCCAGCTCACCTCGATGATCATGACGAGAACCCAGAACGCGTCTTCCTCCGTCGCGTGCGTCAACAGCAACGTCGCTGCCAGATTATTCATACCTTGGGGAGCGATAGCAGCGCGTGAGCAGCGTGATCATAAAGCCCACCTCCTGCCATCGTGCTTACCTTGGCAATATCCGCACGTCGGATTGTACCACGAGTAAGCTACCAGCAATCGGCGGAGCTTTGGAACGCCTGGACCATCTCCCCCAAAATAGACGTTGGTCGGCATGGTGCGATGCACGTCCAGATCGATCTGTTCTGTGCACTGATTGGCATCCCCTTGATGCTCAGCCAGCAATTCCTGATACTTTCCAGGCTCAGCAGCTTCGATGGCTCCGCTGCACTCCGTCCAAACCTTGGCGCGGTAGCACAAAGGAATGCCAGCCTGGCAGAGGCGCAGAAAGACGCGCCAGTGATCCTTGCCCAGCTTGCTATCGCCCATACGATTCACGCCAATCATTCCCTGCTGCCAAGCTTCCTCGGGCACATCATCCATCTGAGCTAGACCAGTCGCATGCTCGGAAGCGCTTAAGCCCAACATCTGGCCGCCGCTTTTCCGCACAGCGCCGGCTAGACGCGCTGCGCCTCCCGCGCTGGCGTTCGCAGCCTGCGACGCGGACGGGCGAGTGCCCGTTCGGGACGTCACAGCCTGTCTTCTTTGTTCCAGAAACTCGTCCCATTTCGTCTTTTGCTCTGCTTGCTGGTCTTCGTGCATTCGCTGCAACTGACCCAAAAGCCTCTTGACAGTCTGCGATGTCGAAGCGGGGCGCCCTTTGGCAGCTTTTGGCGTTTCGATGGTGAGCGCATTGGGCGCTGCGGGTTGCGAAGCAAACTGGAATTCTAGCTCTGCCGAAGGACTTGTCGGGCCTGATTCAGCGGTATTTTGCGAAGGGACGCTGAGAGAGGACGCCTCCGTCATGGGCTTTGCGCGCGCCACAGAGAGCATCGAGTGGGTTGTCGTCGGGCTTTGGTTGCTGCCGGTCTTGCTTCCTCCGGCTTGCATACCCGCAACCTTTTGAGAGTAAGAGGAGATGACGGATCCTGCCTCGGAAATGTGGGATTCTGCTCCGTCGAACAAGTCCTCCTTCTCCGCCAGCGATGTAGCTCGCGTAGCTGCATCGTCAGAGACCGGCCCGTCTGGCGGCTGCGCTTCCTCTTCAGAATCCGGAGTGAACAGATCGGCATCATCTTCCTTTTCATCTTCGCTTTGACTATCAGATCCGCCCCTCGCGCGCACTCCCACCCGAATGCCAGTGAGACAAGCTGGCGCAGGGGTAGCAGCGCGCCTCGCTTGACGCAAGAGGCGCACATCTGCCGACGTTGCGTCGTACACGAAACCGTAGCGATCAGTGAGCAGCTCCGTCGCATCTTGCTCGCGAGCATTGATAGGCTCGGGCGGGGCCATCATGACCAATCCCTTGCCGCCATACACTTCAAACTCATCACCGGAGCTTTCGCTCGAGCCGCTCTCCTCTTCCAGACGACTCAGTGCCTTTGCGCGCGAAGACTCGGCTTGCCGACCTGGCGTAATGCGCTGAGTTACGAGCTTGCCGCCTCGCTTGGCAAAGATGGCCAGAGATGGCGGCTTGCTGTCATTGGCAATGATGGGTTCTAGCTCGACTGAGGGTGCTGGTGCTGCTGCACTCGGTTCCGGAGTGGCATCATCGCCTCGACTGTCTTGACGCGCAGCTCTTGTGTCCTTCATGGGACTCTTGCCCGAATCTACAGTGCTCCTGCCGAACGAGAACATGCCAGGAACTCGAGTCACATTCGGCTGCACCGAATTAGGGTTCGATGCATGTGATGGCGTTCGAGGCACAGCCCCATCGCGTCGTCGCTTTTCATTTCGCCCCAGCGTCTGACCCAGTCGTGCAGCGCTGGTGCTGCCAGAAGACCCGGAGGCAGAAGGGGGTGCAGCACGGGCTTCTACATTCCTTGACGCTTTCAAGCTTCCACTCGCGTCGCTAGCGGCGCTCGATACTGACGCTCTCTCTTCTGCTGGGCTGCTCTTGTCGTGACCAGCCCCTAAATCTCTGCTGGCGGGCACGGTGTCACTCTTGGCTTTAGGTGCCGCAGTATCCGCACTCAAAGCTTCTTGCAGAGCGTCAGAGACCGAGACTCTGTCGTCTTCGGTGGGACGACTCTGTGCGACCTCGTCATCGAGCTTGGCCGTGGGGATGGCAAGGGTAGATGACCCTCCTAGCGATTCAGAAGCCGCATTTGCTGTGCCTTCGCCGACCGAGAGTGCCGCTGCGGTGTCGTCGGCTTTGTTTGCAATCTCTTCTCCCTCAATCAAGCCTGCCGCCCCTCGAGAAGCGATAGATTCTGAGAGGGTGGGCCTAGGGGACGGCTTGGGTTTACGGCGCCACGCGATGCTGCCCATCATAGACAAGCCGCTCAGCACCCTGTTGCTGCCTGTGCCCGTCTTGTCGGACGAAGTGCTGGAGCTGCTCGGTGCTCTCGGGGAGCTTGGAGTATTTAGGGACGAGGCCGAGACAGAGGCAGACCTAGCGTGTGCTGTCCGCGGATCTTTGGGAGAGGAATGCAGAACCCCACGGCTTCCTGCAGGCTGCGCGCCGTCAGACAAGTAGCCGTCCGCTTCAACGTCTGCTGGACTGACAGCGTGCACGCTAGGTGCAGCTTTTGTGTGCGAAACGGAGCTGGTTCCCCACAGACCCCACGCAAAGCTCGAAGGGGCGACACTTTGCTTTGAAGCCGAGGACTTTGTCGAAGAGACCGAAGGCGCTCTTGAAGATCGACGCGGCGACTTGTCGGATCCTTTGTCGAGGATCTCCTGGGTCGACCGCAAATCTCCTTGCTGTCGTGCGCCTTGGCTCGAGGCTGTTGCGTCTGCGCGAGCGTCTGGTAGCACAACCGCATCCGAGGCGTCGTCTCGAGCTGAGACCGCCGATTCGCCGTCGCCAGTGCTGCTGAGGAGCGAGCGACGCGCTCGTACAGTGCTCTGATCATGCACCTTCAAGTGATCTCTGGACAATTCATCGCCCCCTTCTGCAGCAAGATTTTCCAGCATCGCTTCCCTAAGCGACTCTGGCAAGCCCTCGTCTCCAAGGCTCGTCAGCTCCTCTTTGATGCTCGAACGCTGGCCGTTGTGTGTCTGCGTCGCGTCAGCGGCGCTATTGCCCTCTTTGCGCTCGTCGGCCTTAAATGTAGGAATTTCGGACTGACTTGTCGCGTGCATCAAAGCGCGCTCCACGCGCAGTTGCGAGACACCTGCTCCTCGTAGAATGTCCTTCAAAGCCGTCTCTCGCGCATCATAGCGTCGCCGCTGTGCACCGATCGCAATGACGTGCTTCTTCTGCATGCCTTCCAGTGCCTCACGATGTAGTGATCCCTCGTCTATCGCGACCTTGAGAGCGATGCTAAGTTCCCGTATCAGGCTGGTGCGTGTCGCAAGAATGGAGTCTGTGTGAGCACCTACGCCCGAGGTCAGCCCGGCTTCGGTAGCGGTGCCTTGTGCGAGCGACGCAGAGTCGGTTCGGGCACCATGGGCAGGCTGGGTGGCAGAACCAAAAGTGGCGATCCGCTCGAGCTCGACGTCTGAGAGCTGGTGGAGAGAAGAGAGGTAATGCCTGCGCGATTGCCGCTCCGCCACTCCTTCTCCATCGTTGTCGCTCTCTGAGGGGGCAATAGACATAGCCTTGGTCGGCTCTCGCGCCACAGATGGTGGTACCGGCGACCGAGCAGCGCTGCGAGATGGAGGTCGAGTCCGAGTGCCGACGGCCAGGTTGCCAAGTCTGGAGGGAGCCCTAGAAGGTACAGGACTGACGCGGAGCCTGTCATTCTCGTCGATTGTGTCATCGCTGCTGTAGCCGGACTCGGCGTCACCGACCGAGCTGTCGGCTTTCGTTGAGTGGGCGTAGGGATGCGCGCTTGGGGACAGTCTGAGCCGATCAGTGAGTTGGGAGCTCGACGCGTGCGATTGCCTCTCCATCTCATCTGCTCTTTGAGCCAGCTTCTGAAGATCGAAATAGCCCGGCCGAGTCCAAGAATCAGCCGGTTGAGCGTTCGACGTCGATTCTGAGGCTGATGCATCAGCTGTCGAAGCATCTTTGGACGTGGTGGGCGTCGCTAGATCTGCGCTCAGTGCCAATGGGTGGCTCATCGCGGCACTCGAGTCGCACTCGTTAGCTCATGAGTTGTGTGATCTGCGTGGGGTGCGCGAGTGCTGTAGTGTGCATCGCCGATGCTAGCCAGACTGGACAACGACGCCTGTGCTCCAATACGATCAGGAGGTGTCATTCGACTGCAGATCGAAGTGGGAATCTTGTATTGAAAGGCACGAGCAGTGCACCTGAGGAGGATCAATCATACGTTCGCCTCGTAGCTGCTGTGGTCAGGTAGATGTGGAGCATGTGAGAGTCCTTGGGAACTTTGCCTGCATGTGCGAGCGAGGCCGAGATTGTGAGATGGAAGAAGGGGACAACCTGTTTTCGAGTGAGAGTCAAGCCGCGTGCGAGTGTTGAACGCTGGACTCTCTCTCTCTCTGTGTACAGCCTCGGTACATGGTCGTGTGCTTATATGTCTTTGCTCACTTTGCGATGTCAACTCATCAAAGCTGTGGCTTGAACCTCACCGCTGATGGTCCCTCTCGCGCGCGGTCGCATCATGGAGCTGGGCGCTCTTCCGCGTCCAACAGCACCAACCCAGATCTGCAGCTGCATGCTGCATGCAGCCAGCCATGCATGCAGCGAGCCCCATGCAAGCGAAGCGCGGTCTGCTTCTTGTGGTGCACGCGCTCGGGCATCATCGACCACGTGGCCAACACCTATCGTGGTCATTGGTCATTCACGATTCTTGACTTGAGACCGACCGCCTCTTACACCAATCATCTGCTCGCTCAGCGCCTTTCGGCACGCTCGAGTGTAGGGTCTCTCGTGGAATAGTCATGCATGATTCGAGGTGTGCTGTCCTGATTCGCAGGGAGTACCACGCAGCCTTCAGCTTAGGTCCGCCAGTGCGAAATCCCAAATGAATACAGCACGGTGCCGCCTAATCAGGAGTCATCTGCAGCGCATGTATGAGCGGAGATTCCAGATCCGCATGGCATAAGCGTGTCGGCGGGGTGATGTGTGATCGAGTGACAGGCGACAGGTAGCGTATAGGCACGGCCAGAAAGTCACCCTCGCGCGAGTGTCACGCCGGCGGCGATCCAAGATGCGCGCGCGTTTGTGCTAGCTGCTGGTGCTGCTGCATGCAGACCCGTGTGCAACGCTTAGCGGCGGCGGGTGAAAGTAATGAGCTCTTACAATCAACAATTGATTTCCAGATTCTAATTGAAGTATCATGCTCACAATAACTGGTCTCAATAAAGGCGGTGTTCAAGGTGGATGTTTATGGCATTTGAATGGCCAGTTGTGTACAAGACTTACAAGGATGGCTGCGCCGGCATATGTATGTAGCATCCAGCAACAGCAGCAGCAGCAGCATCAGCAGACAGCTGTACAGCACCGGGGGTCCATAGCGCGCACGATCGAAAGCGATATACTTGGCAGGACGTGCTATTCATGCAGCACCATCGCTCGCATAGACTGGTGACCACTCACACATCTCACACGTCCACCTTCAAGCCACTCTTGCACACACGCTCAAAGCGCTCTCCCGCCTTCGCAGGCTTCGCATCTCATTCCGAAGCTGAGCATACCCCATCGCTGCTCGTTCGCTCGCCCGCCCGCCTGCTGCCTTTGCATCTGCTTCGCATCAGCAGCACAACTTCTCATCTTCATTCACTCTCAGTCGCAAGCCTGACGCTCGACCCCTCTCGCTTCTCTCCATAGACTTTCCAGTGACGCACAAACGCGACTCCAAGCTCGACCAATCAGGCGCATACAGTCCCATCTTTGCAGTAAGACGAACGCACCATGCAAGCCGCTTTCCTTCGAGAATACAAGTTGGTCGTGGTGGGAGGTGGTGGTGTAGGAAAGAGCGCATTGACAGTGATGTTCATCCAAGGTCACTTTGTGGACGAGTATGATCCGACCATCGAGGGTGAGTGTGCGAGGCAGCGTGGGTCGTGAAATTGCCCGCCTAGGCTGATGCTCGAACCTCTCGACGCCGATCAGACTCTTACCGAAAGCAATGCGTCATTGATGAAGAGGTCGCATTGCTAGATGTGTTAGATACTGCTGGGCAAGAAGAGTACAGGTGAGCATCACAGGGGAGACCGGACTGCTCATAGGCAGCACCGCTTCGAGCAAGCCCGCATGAGCTTCGCTGGCCGGGAGAGCGAGCTTGTGGAGTCGTGGAGCTGACATGGAGCTGCTTTGACGATCAGTGCGATGCGAGAGCAATACATGCGCACAGGCGAGGGTTTCTTGCTCGTCTACAGCATCACGTCGAGGAACAGCTTTGAGGAGATCACGACATTCCACCAGCAGATTTTGCGCGTCAAGGACAAGGACTACTTCCCAGTGATCATTGTTGCGAACAAGTGCGATTTGGAGTACGAGAGGCAAGTGGGCAGTCATGGTGAGTGGATCTTCACCCCCAGCTGTGTTCGGGCATCTTGTCGCATACTGAAAGTCGCATGCGACGACATCTCTTCCAGAGGGTCGCGAATTGGCCAAGCACTTTGGATGCCGTTTCATCGAGACTTCGGCAAAGCAGCGCATCAACGTCGACGAAGCCTTCTGCAACCTTGTGCGCGAGATTCGTCGGTTCAATAGGGAGCAAGCTGGTGCGAGGCCTGGCGCACCAGGAGCAATGGGAGCTGTGGGCGGTATGGAGTATGCGCAACCGGGGGGCAACAAGCAAGAAGGAAGTTGCTGCGGTTGCAAATGCGTGGTCTTGTGAAGATGTCGGGATCGGAACAAGGAAAGATTTTGGCTCCCGACTGCTATTCCACATGCCAACCTCACGTCACGCTTTCTCAAAGCCATGCCGCTCTCTCGAAAGTTCTTGTCGATAGGCATCGTCGCTTCGCTACGCTGCACGTACGAGAGCGAAGCAGCGTCGCCTGCTCGCGCGATGCCTTCTACTAGACTCTCTCTCTCTGTCCAGCACTCACTCTTTCGACTTTCGATTCTCAAATGACACCATCAGCGTGCGTGCACTTGCCTTCTCGCGCTTCACGCTCAACTTTTTCCTATCGGAGAAAGGAGCACTCCTCTCTCTCTTTTTCCAATATGCAAAGCTGCGCTTTTTCCATTATATTCGGTTGAGAGCAAACCACCCACCAACTCTTACGCACACTGCTAACCATTTGACGTTCCCGGTCATTCCTTTTCTCGACTTGATCTGCTTCTCGCGATGCTATCCACCGAGTCACTTTTGCTTTCACAACATCCCATCTTCTCGTTCGTACGTAATGTGATGCAGGGCTTTCAACGACCCGAAAGCTGGCGTAGAGGTACAAAGAGAGGCACGTCATTCTAAGCCGCTGACGGCAGCGATGATACACTTGAAGAAGTGGATGTGCGTGTGCAATCATCCGGTCTGTTGGTCTGAGGAACCGATGTTGCGCACGCCTTCTAATACGGCCCCCTTCATCTTGTCCGTGATGATGTGTGGCTGATCTTGGTCGAATTCGAGGCTAAAGGTGGCTCTTAGAGGTCCCTCCGAAGATTCGTGAGAAGCAGCCGCTTGGCGCAAGTCGGAAAGCACGTCTTTCATCATCTGCACCGAGAATCGGACATCCTTTGTGCCGCACATCAGGCTAGACTCGAGGTTGATCTGCTTGCGTCTCGCAGCGGCGTCCGCGTTGGCGTTGGCGTTGGCGTTCGCGATGGAATGCTTCAGGCGGGACGTTTGATGGTTTGCTTTGACTTGGACTGGAGCGCTGAAGCGGGAATGATCGGGTCTGAAAGGAAAAGGAGAGACCACTTTGAACCTGGATCCAGCGAGCGGGAAGATGTGTCGCGGTACAGGTAGCAGCTCTGTCGCAAGGGAAGATGTGACATGTTCTCGCAAGAGCACGAGCGTGTAGGTGTTGAGCAGATTGGCACCTTGACTGAAGCCTACCAGCACAATCCTATCATTCGGCACGCCCCTTTTGTTCAGATCCTTCATGGCGTCGACGATGCGTTGCAAGGCGGAAAAGATGAATGGCGCATTCTTCGCTATCATCTTTTCATCCGTCACTGATCAGCGGTTTGCAAATCAAGAATAGGAAAGTTGGGTTCAGATGGATTATGAACAAGGCGGTCTGAAGCATCTTGTGCCATTGTGCCTATCGCGAGCTCACGAACCGGAATGCGCATCGGGGTACCACCAATCGCGCGCAGCTCCAACCGCTTCAATCCAAAGGGCCTTCTCCTCCCGCTTTTCCTTCCCAACTACAGCCTGCTCTTCATCTTCTTTCGGCAGCACTGCTACCTCTTCCACTTTCTCTTCCCGCAATCCTTCCTTCAAAAGCGTGCAAAACATATCCATCATGGGCTTTGGCGTCTCGTTTCGTCCATGGATAAGCACAACGCCTACAGGCGCGCTCAGCTCTCTGCTCCACTTGCCGCCCGAAAGTCGAACAAGAATGGTGGGACCATGCGCGTGGGGTAGAGGATCCTGCCAATCGGCTTCTTCGCTCATTTTGCCCCTTGGCTATGTTTCCAGTTGATCGCGCTTGCTTCGATTTGATGGGGCTTAGTCACGAGTACTCCGATGAACAGGATGGTAGAGCAGTCAATAGCGTGCGTGCGTGCGTGGCATTCGCGTGCGTGGATGTAGACCTGCCGAAGAGACGCGCGCGCGTGCGTGAACCGTATGATCAAGCTTTCATGCGCGGCCGTCGATAGCTTGATGATGAGCCTGACTAACCTCGAATGAACCAAACACATCTGCGATTCCTGATCATCGACTTTAACTGCTGGATACGTGGGCACGCAAGGCCTCATTCGTGATTGCAAAAGACCATGAGCGCCGATCAATCTCTGCTGGTGAGCACTGACTCGACTGAACAGTCCCCGCGCATGCGACTTCGCATGTCCAACCTTTGCAGCATCTCCACACGAGAGCCAGCATCAACGATTCGCAATAACAGCTCAACCACCGCGCCGATCTGCCAAAAATTCCTTTCCAAGACCACAAAGCGCGCATATGAAGTACATTGACATTCAAAAAGATTGTTCGACAAGGCAAGCCTCACTGAACGCTCGAGAGCAGCTCGAATGTATGATCCAGCCTAAGCAGAAGGTGAAGACTCGACAGCCTTTCCATCCACAAACTTCACCTCGCCCACATTGACTCGACGAACCAACTCTTTGAGGGCCTGCGAAGTTTCAAGAAAGCAAGTTCGAAATGAGAAGATCGTCGAAAAGAGTCGATCGGAACGACGAAGTTTTCCTCTGCAGAAACACATCGATCGCAACACCGACTCACCCTTGCTCCCCATTCAAAGTCGGACACTTCGAGCTTCGAGTGGAGCAAAAATGATAGGAACCGGGTCAGCAGCGCGTAGTCGTCTCCGTCTGTAAGTTGGTCGAAAGAGACGACGTTGAGCTCACCCAAGCTTGAGCGCTGAAACGCGCCCAGATCTTCGAGTCGTAGCTATGGAGCGCCGCAAAAAGAAAAAAGAAAAAGAAAAAAAGGAACAAGGAACAAATTTGGCATTGGGACGAATCAAGGATGAGCTCACGGCATCGTGATCATCTGCCCATCCTCTTTTGTTTGCCAGACCTCTCGGCACCGAGACTCACGTGTATAGCGGAATGGCCGTCTTGAACTCGTCCTGCAGCGTGTTCCAGAACCAAGGTCTAGCAGCCGCAAACCATTTGTCCACCTCTCCCTGCGTACAATGTGCCGCAACAGGTACGCGCACATTGACCATCGCCGCCGTCCTCTCTCCATCCGGGTCCAAAAGCTCGCTGCCCAAAATCCTCGCCACTTCCAGCGCACCTTTGCGAGCCAGATCGTGCGTGTACCGTCGAAGCCTCTCGTAGCCTCCTAGCTTTTCCGCAAACGTCAAGGCAGCATCCACGCTCAAGAAGGAGCTCTGATCGATCAACCCATTTGCAGCCCACTGTTCTGCCCAGGTATTTGTCTGCCCCGACGCATTCTCTACGTAGGACCAGCTAGTAGGCAGACTAGATCGCTGAAGATGCTGATTGCGTCTAGGCACGTAGAACACTGCACAACCTCGATGCGCATAGCCCCACTTGTGAATGTTGGACACGAAGAAATCCGGATCTGCCGCTTGGAGGTCGAGCGGAATTTGTGCAAAGGCGTGCGCACCATCCACAAAGCTCAGAATATCGTGCTTCCTCAACAATTGCACAAGCTCCACCCACGGAAGCTTGATACCGGGCATGCTCGAAATGGCGTCAAAGATGCCGAGTCGAATCTTGATCTGCTTTGCGGTGGCAGCTACGATGCTCTCTTCCACCGTTCTGAGGATCTCGTCATCGGAAGCGGGCAGCTTGATGGGCACAAGGACATCGTGCAGCTTGGTCTTCAGATTCGTGTGCGTTTCGTACACGTACGACAGCGTCTTGTTGACCGCTCCATAGCCAACATTGAGCGTGAGGATGCCATCCCCATCCTGAAAGTACAGATCTCTAAGCACCGCGTTGGTGGCCGTTGTCGCATTCGGAATCAGCGCAAGTGTCGACGTTGGGCAATTGAGCATCTTGGACAAGCGTGACAAGGCGCTTTGCGACAGTTCATCCCGAGTCCTTAGTAGAAAGAGCTGTCGTGGAGGGAGCGGCCAAGGCATCAGATAGACGCCTTGGTCACGTGTACGCTTTCATCTCACATCTGGATTCTCTTCTGCTTTGTCCGACAGCGCTCTCCATGCTTCGAGCACGGGGATTGGGCATGCTCCGTACGAGCCTGTAGGGGAGCAAGATGCATGGGCGTGGAAAGACGGGCACGGTATGCAGTCAGGCTGGCATCCTGGACACTCGAACTGAGGCGACGCAGGTCAGAGCGACTCACCATTGTTGAGATTGGTAAAGCCTTTTTTGAAATTCCAATAGCGAGCAGCGTCATGACCGAGCCTTGGCAGTCCATACTCTTCTTGACTCGCAAGTTTGTGAGCCGAAGGAGCCGGTCC